GGCTAGGACCAGACTCCAGATTTATCTGGAGTCTGGTCCTAGCCTCGTCACTACCTCGCCGGGGTTAGGCCAGACACTTACCAGCACATGGGGTCGGTTGTGCTGATACTGCACTCTGCACTTACGTGCAGATACCGGAGCAGCTTACGTGCGCAGCAGTAGTCAGGAAGCCGTTCTTCAGTCACGGGATTCCGAGGTAGTCCTGCTGGCGTCCGCAGCCCAGCGTCTCCTCTATCTTATATTTCATTCTATTATCTCATGTATTCGAGACAAACAATATTATATTTCTTTCAAACGATTGTATTTAGTACTCTTAGTAGTTCGTGAGTGATGTGACACCAGTTCTTGGGTAGAGGCATATGTTGATTTCCGCATTATTGTTCAGCTTATTTAATTTAAGTCTTCCGCTTTATTTCCATATTTCCGCTGTTATTTAAATATTTAATGCTTGATGTCATGCTTGATAAAAAGGATTTAAAAAATAAAGGAGTTAGTAGTTTATGATTTGTGGCTTGTCTAGCTTCTACGAGTAGGCGCCATCACGACTCCCGAGGGTGGAAATTCCGGGTCGTGACAAGTTGGTATGAGAGCTCTAGGTTACATAGGCCTCACAACTCACGGATAAGCTCAGTAGAGTCTGAGGGATCGGTACAGAGACGTCTGCACTTATCCCCTAGAGGCTACAGAGTTAGGAAAACTTCACATTTGTTCTTTCTTGTCGTGCGGTTTTGACTCTCAAATGCTAATTGAATTTCTACTCTGTTCTTTCTCAGATGGTGAGAACACGCGCTTCCTCATCTACCGCTTAGCAGCCCGAGCCCCCAGCAGCAGCTCCCACTAGGGGCAGAGGGCGAGGCCGAGGTCGTGCTAAAGGCCGAGGTAGGGGCAGAGTTCAGCCCCGAGCAGCAGCACCAGTGGCGGAGCCTCAAGTTGATTTTGAGGAGGTTCCGGCCCCAGCAGTTCCGGTGGGCCCAGCTCAGGTCCGATTGGTGGGCCTCATGGAGAGTGTCACCCGAGCAGGTTTGCTTCCTGTAGCACCAGCCACTTCTCAGGCTGGAGGAGGGGTTTATACTCCTGCTACACGCACTCCGGAGCAGGTACCT